CCATTGATACAAGCAGGGGACCAGCATTTGCCAGCGCCACCTCCTGAAGTACGTAACGAACTCCCCCAGAACCCTGTATGGGACAGCTCTCCCTCGAGCTGGGTTCATCAGGCAGGAGCGTGGCAACATGCCATCGGCTGAGACAGGTGATGCGCTCCGCGTTCGGGTGCAATCCTTGAAATGCTCGCCTCCACTCAAATCGAAGACGCCTCTGGCGAGTCTTCGCCGCCCCTTGCCTGTCTGGAAACGCGGATGTGGCCAAACGTTGGGGCACAGTCTGGCGAAGCTCTTGGAACATGTGCTCCCCCAGCCATTCTGCCCCCCCCCCTCGGGGGAACACTGGAGGGACGGAGAGAGAGAGAGAGAGAGAGAGATAGAGAGAGATAGAGATAGAGAGAGAGAGAGATATAGAGAGAGGCAGAGAGAGAGAGAGAGGGGGAGACAGAGCCAGAGAGAGAGAGAGAGAGAGAAAGAGAGAGAACGAGAGAAGAGGATTTGAGAACATAGACCTTTTGGGGGCATCTTGGGGGCCTCTTGGTGGCTGTCTGAAGAACGCCCCATAGCAACTCGATTGGTACCTTGGCAGCGGGCCTCCTGAAAGGGAGGTGTCCTCTGGCCGGATCTCATACAAACGTGCAAGTGCGGCGTCACGTGCAATCTACTCCGCCAACATGTTGCCGGTCTCGAGGTCGAGGGACGCGAAAGGCCAGGGCTAGGAGAAGAGGGATTCGCGATTGTGCGCGCCCGTGGATCATCGTCGGTCTGTGGTAGCCCGCTCTGGCCTGATCGCCAGCACACCATGAACATGTCCTACTCGGTATGGGGTTATTCCATTTTGTGTTCCCAGCGGCCACAGGCATGCAAACGCCAGTGATCACACTTGGTGATTTGATTTCGCCAAGCGTGAGAGTGCTGCCCCTCAGTTTCTGAGTGCTGGATTCGTATGGGCTCCTACTTTGACATCTGTGTCTGGACCCGCCAGGAGTGCTAGCTAGCATCAACGAGAAGCGTGACCCGTTGCGATGGAAATGTGCTCATTTGATGAGTTGCCGTTGGCTGTTGTGCTATATCGGCGCAGCCGCTGTAATATGATCGGGCTGAGGTTTGGCGGGGAAGTAGAGCCACCGTAGCCAAGCTGCAGCATCATTTTGCGATCACGTATTTCCAGCCGCAGCCTCTCCAGGATATGCCCAGGGCCAGGCAGTCTTCGCAAGCGCAGAGGCAATTCGCCATCCGCTCCTAGAGCACCATGAGGTGCTCCTGATCGGCGGAGCCGCGCGCCTGTTAGAAATCTCAGAACGCCACCCGTTCCTTTCCCCTCCCCCTCCTTTCCTCCCTTTCCCTGCCCCTCCTCCCCATCCTTCACCTTCCCATCCTTTCCCTCTGGGTCCTCTGTCAAACGGAATGCAGATGGGTCCTGGCAGGGGCGATGATGCGTATGCAGTGTAGGCCAGTGCGATGCCCTGTCCGCCGCCAGGCCTGGGCCCACGCCGCCGCCGAGGCGGGGCACGGGAAGGGCGGGGGGCGGGCGCGACCCTGGCGGACGTGCTATGACCTACCTGGCCTTATACTCGCTTCTGCACTTTTCGGCGCTCTGCGGGCGCTATGGGAGGACAGCTCAGAGAGGAAACGCTTATACCGATGCCCTTCCATTGCTTTCGCCTCTTTGTGCCTCCTGGGGGCTCCTCGTCGCAACGGCTGCATCGGCCTCGGAGTGGAAGAGGAGGTGGAGGTGGAGGAGGAGGAGAAGGACGGAGAGGAGGAGTTGGAGGAACATAAGTGGAGGAGGAGTTGGGGGAAGAGAAGACCTGAGGAGTTGGAGGATGAGAAGAGGAGGAGGAGGAGGAGGAGGAGGAGAAGGAGGGGGCGGACGGGGGTGATTATGATGAGGATGATGATGATGCTGATGGTGATGATGATGCTGATGATACTGATGCTGAAGATGATGATACTGCTGATGCTGATGTTGATGCTACTGATGATGATGCTGATGATGCTGATGATGATGCTGCTGATGATGACGATGCTGATGCTAATGATGATGCTGATGATGGTGATGATGCCGATGTTGCTGTTAGTGTTGTTGTTGATGGTGATATTGTTGGCGATGCTGCTGATGATGATGTGATGATGCTGCTGATGATGATTATGATAATGATGCTGATGATGATTCTGATGATTATGATGATTCTGATTATGATTGTTATGATGATGCTGACGATGATGATGAGGATGATGACTATGATGATGCTGATGATGATGCTGATGATGATGATAATGATGGTGCTGCTGCTGCTGATGATGATGAGGAGGAGGAGGAGGAAGTTGTTGTTGATGATGATGATGATGATGCTGATGATGAGGATCATGATGGTGATAATGACGATGATGATGATGATGATGATGCTGATGATGATGATGATGATGATGATGAGGATGAGGATGAGGATGAGGATGAGGATGAGGATGATGATGATGATGGTGATGATGATGATGATGATGATGATGCTGATGATGATGATGATGATGATGATGATGATGATGATGATGATGATGATGATGATGATGATAATGATGATGATGATGATGATGATGATGATGATGATGATGATGATGATGATGATGATGATGATGATGATGATGATGATGATGAATGATGATGATGATTGATGATGATGATGATGATGATGATGATGATGATGATGATGATGAGGAGGATGAGGAGGAGGAGGAGGAGGAGGAGGAGGAGGAGGAGGAGGAGGAGGAGAAAGGAGGAGGAGGAGGAGGAGGAGGAGAAGGAGGAGGAGGAGGAGGAGTAAGGAGGGAGGGAGGAGGCAGGAGGGAGACGGGCCCTCCGGCGAGAGTCTCGAAACCTGCACAGCGAGCGCACCGACGGAGTGGCATTGCCCCGGCCCCGCATCTCGGAGGGCCGGTGCTTCTTGACTTGTGGCATTTGCTAGGATTTTCGTGTGCAGCATCGGCCTTCGCCCATCATGATCGGGGTTGCGGATCTCGGGCGGGGCCAGGACGAGGGCAAATCTGTTCCAGAGCGTTCCGAACGCTCTGGGAGCATTCTGGAATGCTCCGTGAAGGCTGCGGCGCCTGGGACATCCTCCAGAGCCGCCGGATCTCGGAGACATCCTCCAGAGCCGCTGGTGCAGCATCGGCCTTCGCCCCTCTCGATCTGGGCTGCGGGTCTGCTCCGCGACCTCTTGTCGCTCGGCTCGCGGCGCGAACGGCACGCGCGCGAGCCAGCACCATGCTGATGCTGCGGGGGGGGGACCACATCGGAGGGTCCGCCCGCTCTCGCAGGGAAGGTGCGCGTCCATGCCCGGCGCTCCAGAAGCGGCCTCCCCTTGGGCGTTGCGTAATGGGGGGGTCATAAATGGGGGGGTGGCGAGGGTGGTCCGAAAAGGTACCCAAATGGTACCTAAACGAGCCCCTTGAGGCTCTGGAGGGGCCCGAAAGGGGCACGAAAGGGGACCGTTTCTGACCCCCCCATTTGTGACCCCCCCATTAAGCCACGCCCAATCCCCCCCCCGGCGTGTCTCGCCCTCGGCAGCAGCTTTCAGAGTGCCAGCGGAGGGCGGCGGGAGTCAAACGGCGGTTTGCTCCGCCGGCGGAAGGCTGGCGGGAGGCGGCGCAGGTCCAGCGGGGAGGCGTCCGCTGGCGAGGGCCGGCGAGAGGCGGCGGACGTAGAAGTGGTGGTCCCCAAATGTGGTGGTGAGAACACCCTCCTCCTCCTCCCTCCTCCCTCCTCCTCCTCCTCCTCCTCCTCCTCCTCCTCCTCCTCCTCCTCCTTCCCTCCTCCTCCTCCGAGTTTTGGGCGATTTGGGCAATGGTTTTCGAGCGCTGGCTGGCCCAGGAAACGCAAAACCTCGCGGCGACCGCGTGTCCCCAAACCCGGTGGTGACCCAGAGTTATTTTTTTGGGGAATCGGGGTCACCACCGGGTGTCTCACCACCTGGTTTGGAGACCATAGAAGTGAGAGGGGCAGCTCGTTCTGGTGGAGAAGAGGCGTACGGCACGCGCCGCGCTGGCGCGGCGCCAACCCCGTCGCGGGCATTCATGGTCGAATGCCGCCAGTGGCCCATAACTGGCCGACATCGAACGTTCTGCGCACTTGGAAAGCCGCGACCGTTCGAGGTTGAACTATCCACGCAGTGTCGGGAATCGACGCGCAAGTCGTCACGACATGAAGCTGCCGTGTCCAGGTCCATGGGGTCGACGTCAGCCAGCCAGATTATCGATACACCTGGGAATGGAAGCTACGTGTTCGATACATTGGGCCCTGGCGTATCGAAACGCCTACGGCGAATCACCGCCGCCCCTTGCTTTTCAGGAAACGCCTATGTGGCCAAACGTTTGGACAACATCTGGCCACGTTGTTGGACCATGCGTTCCCCCAGCCGTTGTGGAAGCCCTTAGCACGCCATGCACCCCTGTGGCAAGACCACAGGGGCGGCGGAGCGGATGACGGACAGCGCGCGTAGCGTTGCGACCCGTTAGTCGGGAGAAAGCAACAAGGGGGGATTTTTTTGGGGTATGCAGGAGTAGCCTCAGATGACAGAAAGCGCGCGTAGCGTCGCGATCCGTTAGCCGGGAGAAATAACAGGGGGGTGTGGGGGGTATGACGGAAAGCGCGCGTAGCGTGCGATCCGTTAGTCGGGAGGAATGAAAGGAGGGCAAGTTCGAGGGGGGTGGCATCCCGTGCCCCAAGGGTCTAATGCTCTTTTCCTTGTTCACGGAGCCTTTAACATGGAACGGCGGGTGTTTGAGCGGGCTCGGGCACCCGTTAACAGGAAAATTGCACGGAATTCTCTGTTAACGGATGCCTGAGCGGGGTCAGGGCCTCGTTAACGTGGAATTCCGTGTAAATTGTTGACGCTTCGCGACTCCCCACCAGTGCAGTCGCAGAGACTGGCTCGCTGCCTCCCTGGTCCCTCCCTGGTATGCAGTCCGCGCCATTTTGGCCGCGCCCCAACCTCGGTTGGCCAATTTGCGCCCTGCCCTGGTCCAGCCCCCGGCAGCCGCAGCTTGCACCCCCACCCGCCGGCCCTGCCCGCCGTGGTGATGCCTGCGGCCCCGCCGCTTTAGGTAATTCGTCTTTGCGCGGCCCGCTCTGACTCGACTCGCCGTTTGCGCCTTCGCTTGCGGCTGCCGGCTAAAAAGAACCCCACCAGCCCATCCAGAAACGATGCCCAGAGGAATTGCCTCGATGAGGCAACTGGGCAGCACACAGAGGAAGCCATGATGAGACATCTTGGGATATCTTGAGCCATCTTGGAGGTCATTTTGGGCTCTCCAAGGCGCTCCTGAATCAGTGCCCCCCCCCAAGAGGCCAACATGTGGCTAAAACCTTCGTAGAATCAATGATTTGTCATTCTCGCCGAGGCCTCTTGGAGCATCTTGGGTGCCTGTGGGGGGTCTCTTGGGGCCTCTTGGGGGTCTCTTGGGGGCCTCCTGGGGGCCTGTTGGGGGCCTCTTGGGGTGGGGGCCTCTTGGGGCCATCTTGGGGCCATCTTGGGGCCATCTTGGGACCTCTTGGGGCCTCCTGGGCGCTTTTGGGGGCCATCTTGGAGGAGATCGATCACAGGAGGTGGGGTTACGGATTACATTCGCCCCCCCAGGAGGCCAACATGGGGCCCAAACCGTAGCAAAATCAAGGATTTTGGCTTCCTCGCCGAGGCAGTTTTGGACGCCCTGACACCTCGCGAACCCCCCTGTCCAGGTCGGTGGGGAGGGGGTAGGGGGAGGGGTACGCCCCTTCCCGAACGAAGGGGAAGGAGGGGTGGAAGAGGAAACTCTCTAAACCACCGACGCCCAGAGGGCTGGTGGGATTCGCTGTTAACGGGTACCTGAGCGGGGTCAGGTGCCTGTTAGCATGGAATTCTCTGTTAACGGGTGCGTAAGTTCCGCGTAAGCTCCGCGTAAGTTTTGCGTAAGCGCGGAAGCTCCTCGCCAGCTTAAGGTACCAGACGGCGTAAGAGAGGCCCAGACGGGCCCGAGGACGGCCCAAGAGCGATCCAAGATAGCCCAAGATGGCCTCAGTACAGCCCAAGAGGCCTCCAAGACACCCCAAGCGGCCCCCGAGAGGACCCCCCAAAGTGCTTGACGACGCAAAAACCATTGTTGTCTTTAGGTTTGTGAAGGTTTTCCAGCTTCTCGTTGTTTGGGCAAGGACGGCTCGATACAGCTCGAGGGCCCCTCGAGTTTTTGCCATGACGGCCCGAGAGGCTCCCAAGAGGGCCTGCGGACGGCCCGAAAGGGCCCCAAGACGGCCTAAGAACGCCACAAGATGGCCCAAGGAGGGCCTGGGAGAGGCCCACGATGCTCCCAAGAGACAGTATGTCGTCGTCATCATCATGAACAGTAGTATCATAATCTTCATTCGTGTTTTATCGCGCTCTAGTGCCTTCCCAAGATGTCAACATGCACTAGTTTCTCTGAAGAGGCCTCCTGCGGCTTCTAGATAGCCCTAGAGGGCGCCCAACATGCCAC